TTCCACCGCGGGGTAAGAAGATGAGGAGCCCGGAGACCTCCCGAAGAGGTTCGCTTCTAAGTCGCCTCATTCAACTGGAACAGCAGGCCCAGAAAGGCGAGACCGGTTTAGCTTTTGGAGTTTCTGGGCTGTTCATGCGGAGGGCGGCCTGAGAAAAGGCAGACTGAGGAATTTTAAGCCAGCTACTTATAAATATTTTTTAAAAGCATCACTCGGACTATTTATACTACATTTGTATTCATGGGAAGAAAATCTTTACCCAGGCTAAAAAAAACCCTCTTTGAAAACCCTCTGAATCCTGTCTCGGCAACTGCAAACGGGCGCTCCTGCCCTACACCCACCGCCCCCCTGCCCCAGACTACAAAGGGGGCTCTCAGGAGCACAAAGAAAATGTCAGAAGGTTTAAGCTTTATTTAAAATCAGCCAAATCTCCCCAGCGCTAGTGTCAAGTCAACAGGCACTACCCCCTGCCCCGGGACCAGAAGGCATCCTAACACGGAGCTCGCTAAGCCTGCCCTCACCCATCAGCGCGGTTTTATTAAAAAAAAACGAGCATTTTTATTTCAAAGTGTATCCGGTCCTTCAAAAGGATCACAGGAATGACGCCTGCCAAATACAAGGGGCCTGCAGGAGGGCTTAAGCAGGCGATTTCGTCTGGTCACCATGACACCAAGGTGTAGGCAATCATTCACCCTCTGAGATGCCCCGTAGCGTCAGAGAAAGCCGGGGTTTGGGGAGGAAGCATTTTTCCATCCACCACGCCAGCCAAAATGAAAAAAATTCAGTAAAATGCACATTGGTGAAAGTCTGGCAAACAGGACACTCCCAGGAACAGCTGGTTGGGAGTGAACACTGGGGCCAACTTTGAAGAACTCTACCTCTCAAAATGCAAAACGTGTACACCCTTTGCTACATAAGACCACCCTGCTGGAGATGTTTTTCTAAGAGATCTACTTGCGTGTATGCACATGACACCATTAAAAATGTAGCAATGAGGGATCCCTGGGTGGCGCAGCGGTTTGGCGCCTGCCTTTGGCCCAGGGCGCGATCCTGGAGACCCAGGATCGAATCCCACGTCGGGCTCCTGGTGCATGGAGCCTGCTTCTCCCTCTGCCTGTGTCTCTGCCTCTCTCTCTCTGTGACTATCATAAATAATAATAAAAAAAAATGTAGCAATGAAATGCTGGGACTAGAAACTAGTGAAATGTTACATACTCCTATAGTGTTTTCCTAGGTTTCATTATTTTATTTCTGTAATCTTTATTTGTTTTAAACCAAGTACATTTTATTTCATTTATACTTTTCAGAAGGGAGAGGGAAAGGAGAGAGGGGGGAGAGGGAGAATATCAAGCAGACTCCCCACTGAGCACAGAGCTGGACAGGGGGGCTCGATCTCACAACCCGAGATTGAGATCATGACCTGAGCCGAAATCAAGAGGCAAATGCCTAACTGACTGAGCCACCCAGGCTCCCCTATTCTGTAACCTTCAGATCATACCTCATAAATAAGATTTTGTCACAACTGGATTTAGTGGAAGCAGAGGCATCAAGTCCACGCTTCTGAAACATAAAAAAGGCAAGGGAACAGTGCCTTAGAAAAAGTTATTCGTGGGATGCCTGGGTGGCTCAGCAGTTGAGCATCTGCCTTTGGCTCAGGGCATGATCCCGGGGTCCCAGCATCGAGTCCCACATTGGGGTTCCTGCATGGAGCCTGCTTCTCCCTCTGCCTGGGTCTCTGACACACACATTCTCTCTCTCTCTCTTTCATGAATAAATAAGTAAAATCTTGGAAAAAAAAGGTTATTCATAAAAGATCACCAGAAAAACCCCTAAACAAAAGCTAAATAATTCATTAAGTTCAATATGAATAGGTACAGATTTAGTACAGTGAGCTAGCATTAGGTTTCTTGCTTAAGCCCATAAATCTTTCCCTAAACACTACTGATCCTCTAAAGGATAAATGCATGAACTTAGCAGTACTTTAGACACTGCTAGCTGCTGGAACATTCCACAGAAAAATGGAAAATAATTTTGTAAGAACATGATGGCAACAGTCAGCAGCCAGTATTCTCACTTTCAAATTATCAAAAAGCATATACAATTTTAGTTTAGGAAAAGTCAACATTTAGAAAAAAATTTAGAATGAAAAGCAACCTCCCCTCCCCTCTTTAATGAGCACATAGACACTGAAAAAGTTCCCAAAAATCTAACTAAATAGTTTACGGAAAGAAACATATGCCCTTATAGTTATTAAATGCAGTCCGTATGGAGACTCTTCAGACACAGGTGCTACCCACCCTGGGCTGGTGGCAGGAGCCTGTGGGGATGGGACGGAAACAGCAACACGTTCCCTGGGTGTGAGCTCTCCGGCACCTGACCCAGTTCAAGTACTTGTTCAAAAGAGGGATTCAGGGATCCCTGGGTGGTGCAGCGGTTTGGCGCCTGCCTTTGGCCCAGGGCGCGATCCTGGAGACCCGGGATCGAATCCCACGTCGGGCTCCCGGTGCATGGAGCCTGCTTCTCCCTCTGCCTATGTCTCTGCCTTGTCTCTGCCTCTCTCTCTCTCTCTGTATGACTATCATAAATAAATAATTAAAAAAAAACAAAAGAGGGATTCAGAATCTGGAACTTGTGAATTCCCTTCACCATCTTCTTCAAAGCCACGTTTTTTATAATCTCATCGTAGCTATCATGTTTCTGGACTTGAGTAGGTGGTAACAGAAATCCATTACGGCCAAGCACCACTACTGCCCACAAATGGTGGGAATGTAAACTGGTGCAGCCACCATGGAAAACTGAGCAGAGGTTCCTCTAAAAATTAAAAATAGAACTGCCATGTGATCCAGGAACTCCACTTCTGGGTATTTACCCAAAGGAAACAAAAACACTAACTCAAAACAATATCTGCACCCCCATGTTCACTGCAGCATTATTTACAATAGCCAAGACACGCATGGCATCCACCTAAGTGTCCATCAATGGCTGAATGGATGGAGTATCATTCAGCCATAAACCAAAAGGGAATCTTGTCACTTGTGAGAGTATGGATGGACCTGGAGGACACTATGCTCATAAAATAAGCCAGAAAAAGACAAATACTGTATGGTCTTCATTACATGTGGAACCTAAAAAACAAACTCATGGAGAGAACAGGCTGGTAGTTGCCAGAGCCAAGTGGCAGGGGGTGGGCGAAATGGGTGAAGGGGGTCAAAAGGTACAAACTTCCAGGTATAAAATAAACAATTCACGGAGATGTAGTGTACAACACAGTGACCGTAGGTAATAATACTGTATGGCATATTTCAAGGTTGGTAAGAGAGAAGATCTTTAAAGTTCTCATTGAAAGGAAAAGCAGGGGATCCCTGGGTGGCGCAGCGGCTTAGCGCCTGTCTTTGGCCCAGGGCGCGATCCTGGAGACCCAGGATCGAATCCCATGTCGGGCTCCCGGTGCATGGAGCCTGCTTCTCCCTCTGCCTATGTCTCTGCCTCTCTCTCTCTCTCTCTCTCTCTCTCTCTCTCTCTGTGACTATCATAAATAAATAAATAATTAAAAAAAAAGAAAGGAAAAGCAGGTAACTACAAGTGGTGATGGATGTTAATTAGACTGTGATCATTTCACCATATACACAAGTATGGAATCACTATGCTGTACACCTGAAACTAATACAATGTTATATGTCAATTATATCTCAGTTAAAAAAATTAAGATTTTTATTTATTTATTTGACAGAGAGAGAGAGTGCACAAGCAGGGCAAGCGGCAGGCAGAGGGAGTGGGAGAAGCAGACTCCCCACTGAGCAGGGAGCCAGATGTTGGACACAATCCCAGGATCCTGGGATCATGACCTGAGCCGAAGGCACATGCTTAACCGACTGAGCCAGCCAGGTGCCCCTCAATTAAAAATTTTAAGTAATTAAAATCTAAAAGATTTATAGCTACCCCCAGAAAGGCAAAATATGTTTGAATTTGCAGAAAGTGTTTCTAGACAAATATCACAAGAAATGTATTTCTTCTAGGAAATGCATGTGGTTGCTTCTAGAAAGTTAAGACTGGAGGTTATTTTATATCCCTCTGTAACTGTTAATCTCTTTTTCCACCATGTGCTTGTGTTATCTCTAAAAAAAGTTTTGGGTGTCAGTTTCAAAATAGAGAGCACCTGATTTCAATCCTCTGGCTGTGTTATTCTGGACAATTACCCAACCTCTCTGGGTCTGTTTTGCCATCCCAAAACAGGGATGCTATGTACCTCATAAAGCTGAGATGAGGACTAACTCCACACAACACTCATGAAGCAAGTAACACAGTGCACAAAACAGGCATGCAATAAACATCACCTTCCCTTAGCTCGAGAAACCCTGGAAATCCTCTTAACCTTCGTTCCTACTGGCAAGAACACTAAAGCCAAAAAGGTTTAGGGACTTGCCCAAGGTCAATCAAGAAGCAACCAGGAGAGCCAAGCCCTAAAAGCCTGGGTTCCTGAACCCTCACATAAAAATCAATTCCATATGCGCTAAGGAATGACTCTGTAACTACTGTGTGGCCATGCCTCCACTTTGGTAGGGCCAGCCTCCTCCCCTGCCTCACTCACCAGACTTGAGGAGTCTTGATTTTTCCCTAAACACCAACTCCACCATCAACTGAGGGGGTCCTACCTGGGAAGACAGCCCCACAGGGGAGCTCCAAGAATGTCTTGATCAAAGGCAGCACTAACCTCATAAGGGAATAATAAGGATTTTAATATGGATGTGTTTTTTAAAAATCTGCTCTATCTCATTATGTGGCTCTGCCACTCAGGTATCTATGTGTACTCCACCCCCATACACACACCTCATCCTAATTTCCAGCCCTCTGGCTTGAATACAGCACCAGATTGGATTTAGGATTGGAAGTTTTTGTTTTTTTAAAGATTTATTTATTTATTTATTTATTTATTTATTTATTTATTTATTTATTTATTTATTTAATGAGAGAAAGAGAGCATGAGCAGGGCGGGAGGCAGAGGGAGAAGGAGAAGCAGACCCCCGCTGAGCAGGGAGCCCTATTCGGGGCTCAATCTCAGGACCCCAGGATCATGACCTGAGCTGAAGGCAGGTGCTTAACTGACTGAGCCACCCGGCACCCCTGATAGGGAATTTAAATGGATTTTGTTGAATGAGAAATTCTATGGGGGGGGGACAATGTTTAATGAATGCCTATTTAAGCAAGAGATCTCCTTCAGGTGACATTTATACATAAGCTGGGGCTTAGTATCCTGATTAAGATAGAATGACTTTGAGAATACTTGGGGATTTGGTGGTAGCTGGTCATTTCTTTTTCTGCTTCGGATGGCTTCCTTAGAGAAAGCTTTCTGAACGTTGGATTATTAGTTTACAGTGCACTTACCTCCTTCCCTAGATTCGTTCAAAGGATTCATTTATCTTGTCAAGAACAAAGACCAAGGTGTCTTAAATACCTACCAGAATGAAATCTTGGGGCCTCCTCAGGATAGAGGTCAAGGAGAGACATGCTGAAAGGGACAGGACAGCACATTTAACTGTTTGGAATAGTAGTGGATGGTGTGTACAATGATGGATTATTAGGTTCTAAGAAGCTAGGGATAACAAAGCATTTAAAAGAATGTGAGAGGGTGATAAATGGAGCTGTGAATCCCTGAAGACGTTTTTCCCTTTCCATATGAACGCCCTCCAGCTGCTTGGAGCCTCATGGCTCCAAGTTCCTTGACATAAATTTCGATGGCCCTCCAGCCCCCATCCGGATCTTGTTCCAGTGGCAACAGCCCCACCCAGACGATGAACCAGGACCGGTCCAGGCCACGGTTCTCAACTTTGGCTGTCCAGCTCCATCACCCGGGGTGCTTTCAGAATACCCCAATGCCTGGGCCCCACCCCAGATCAGTGAAGTCAGAATCCCTGGGAATGGAACTCAGGTACTGACATTATGGCTGAGAACCAGGGATCTAAGCCAATCAGGACAAGCCCGTTTTCCCTGTTGCCACTTACTGGGCCAGTGAGGGCCACTGTGACCAAGTGCTAGCCAGTGAGAAATAAAAGGATGTCGACTGTGGTGGGGGGGGGGTGGTTCTGGGAAGTTTTTATTACCAGATGGAAGGAGAGACACACGAGGGAACTCCTCCACCCCTTCCTTACTAGCCAGCTAGCTTCCTTCCTGCCTGCCTCTTAACAACCCTGCATAGTTGTGAGGAAGTGATGCTCGTTGCTGAGGCTACTATCTTGTGACAGCCAGAGAAGCTGGTGACTGAAAGCCAAGAGGGTGGAAGGGATAGAAAGGGCCTGAGTCCTTGATGACTTGGTTCAGGGTGCTGTGGTCCCCATGCAGCCCTGCAAAACAGTGTCCTGACTCCCTCCCTGCCAAATCCTGGCTGTCAGCTATGGACCTTCCAGAAGTTGCCCAGGTTAATGAGTGTGTAGCCCTCTTCCCTTCGCTGCTGAGCTAGGGGTACCACCAGCTAGACCCCCAAGGCCTGACCTTAACTGCCACCTGCCTGTGCTCACTGACCTGTCCTACATTTTTCTTTAAGCTCTTCTTTCCAGCTTCTCTCTAACTCAGGCGAACCATAGCGACTGCCCTGGCAAGACCTCCAGCCAGCCCAGGCCGCCCTGGCCAGTTTGAGCACACGCGCGCGCGCGCACACACACACACACACAAACACACGCGCGCGCCCCCCATCCCCCACTCCGCTCGCACCTGCGCCGCCGATGGACGTCTGGAAGGAGGGGCCGGGAACCGCCGCCCACTACCTCTACTTCATTGTAACACTCAAACCTCCGCCCAAGGAGAAGCCCAAGCCACCTTCACGTAACATACAAAGCAGGGACCCGCAGATTTCCTTCAGGCGCATGCGCGGCCTCCTGCCTGCCGCTGCAGGTGATGACAAGGCTCCCCTATCTAAAGATTCATCCTAAGCTAACTAACTAAAAGGAACCCGTTCACCCTTGCTCGGGGACTCAGGGCTTTGGAAGTTACTCCCCCCCCCCCGTGATCTCCTTATTCGACGCAAATAGAATTTCCTTTGTGCAACAACTCCACCGGGCGTATCTGTGACTCACCACGGAGCAAACTTTCCACGGTGCAGTTAACAGGGGTTTGCGATGAGGCCCGGGGTTGCGGGGCGGGGGGGGGGGGGGTAGATCGGCTGTAGAGTCACCCGCTTTTCCTGTAGAGGTGCTGTAGGCAGCTCGGGGATATTTTATTGATTTGTTCAGTTTGCTAGAGCCTATTGATAATAAAGCTAAGTGTGGGGTAGCCCGGGTGGCTCAGCGGTTTGGTGCCGCCTTCGGCCCACGGTGTGATCCTGGAGTCCCCGGATGGAGTCCCGTCGGGCTCCCTGCATGGAACCTGCTTCTCCCTCTGCCTGTGTCTCTGCCTCTCTCTCTCTCTCTCTCTCTCTCTCTCTCTCTCTCTCATAAATAAATAATAAAATCTTTCAAACAAACAAATAAATAAATAAATAAAGCTAAGGGTGTTTCCCACCCCACCCCAGCCTATCGTCTTAGCCTAGCTGAGGTGCTAAAGGTGCTGCCAGGGGACCCTAAGGGGGGCCAGGTAAGGGGAAATTCTGAGCTGGGGGGGCGGCGGTGAGGAGTCTAACACCAATGCTGCTCCCCCCTCCCCAGTCCAAGTGACTTTGGGCAGGTTACTTGAATCCTCTGAGTCCCGGATTCCTCATCTGTAAAACTGATAATGGGTGACAGTAATGACACACGTACAATGCCTAACTCCATGCATGGCACAAGAGGATCCAACCCCTTCCCCAGGGGAGACAGATTTTTTGGAAGGTCATCAGTGGGTCAATAACGTCATCTTTCCAGGAATCAGGAACACCCACATTTTAACAAATCCACTGGTTGGTGGTGACATGGTAAGTGCCTAATAATTCCAGCAGAAGTGTGGGAAGAAGGGCTTGGTCACGAAAGTATCGGAAGAGCCTAGAGCTTGCTCCGAGAAGTCCCTGCAGCCCTGCAAAGGAAGCCTCAGTGGCCTTCCGAGCAGCGGCATCAGTGTCTTGCCCCATAGTCACTGTCACCCACACAGATTCTAACTTCCTAGAGATGCAGATTATACCCTCTCTCCTCCTCTCTATCCTCTTTCTTACCTCGCTCCCATCAGAGCTCAATAAATGTTAGTAAAAATGAAAACAATAAAGGTTTCTGGGAGATCTGCAGTTCTTAACGCCAGAAAAATGCTGCCCAATTCGCCCTGAGAGGCTTTTCCTCAAGCCTGGGAGGGAGGGTGAGGGGCCATTATGTTACTTACATCTGCAAAAACAGGATTAGCAGATGAAAGGATGTTTTTGTTAAGATGTGACAGTCACCCTGTGCCTTTACCTTCCTTTGCTCTGGAAATCAGGAAAGAACACAGACTTCCTAGCAATTACCCAAACTGGCCAAGAAAACCACTCGATACTTGATTACTGGGAGAAAAAGCAGTCAGCTTCCGAAAGCACTCAGCAACCCTGGTCTATTAAACAACAACAAAAATCCATCTTCGTTAACAACTTCAACTTTGTCCTCTGAGCTTCATCCCAGGGGAATACCGAATTACACTAAAAAATAATGAATGGAAACTTAAGTCACTTCCGCCCACCCAGCCGAGCTTTTCCTCCTCCTCTGGCAGCGCAGTGCAGAAGGCTGCCCCCTTCCAAGTCAAATAGTTTGGGTTAACGCGTTCCCATACCACTAACTAGACTGCTAAGGTCACCATCATGCAGAACAAACTCCTTCCTCAGCCCAACAACGGCGCGGCCAGACACTGACCACATGCCGGGGTCACACGCCCCCGCCTTAGCATCTTAGGATGCACGCTTTATAAAAGAGACAGAACACAAAAAATTGGGGAAGGAGGAGGTCTTTGCACAGCCGAGGCTGCTACTTACTGCCCCTGTAAGGTTCCATCTCTCAAAGGGATTGGGGCTGAGTGCAGAACGCCCAGCCCTAAGGTCTGGCCAGCACTGGAGGAAGCTGATTAGGCAGCTTTTGTGACCTGATGTGGATGGGATATGGTCAAATATCCTGCAAACGCCAGCCGCGCAAGGGGGTGAGGGGCGGGGAGGGGGGCAGGGAGATGCTCCACGAGCCAAGGGAAAGCCAAGTCCACTCTGCGGCGATACCACGGCAGGAGACACACACACGTGCAAAAACTGTTGCAAGAGAGGCCTGTCTACACCTGTATGCCTGGTCACTTAGGAGAGACCCGGAGCGGCGCTCTAGAGAGACGGGGGCAGAGAAGCAGGGAACAGATTACGGGTAGGGAGGAGAGTCGCTAACTTTGCACCAAACCCTGCTTCGGGCTTTCCCCGTGCCTGCAAACACTGCTGCAAAGTTTCCCCACAGGAACAGATCGGTGTCAAGATAAAGTCGATCAGCTTCGAAATGGTCCCGGAAATCAGTTATCTTTCATGTCAATTTCCAGTCTCAAGTTCCATTATAGCTGTTTCAAACCTTCTCTACTCTCCTCAGACCTCTTCCCTCCTCTCCACCCCTCTTCTCTCTCCCTCTCCTTGCCCCAATCCCAACAGGTGACAGACCTTAACGCCTACTTCACGGAGGGACCTGGGAGTGCGGACACCTGGGTGCCGCCCCAGGCAAACTTAACCCCTCTCAGGGCCCTGCCCTGGGGAGGGGGCAGCTGGCTAAGCTGGAGATCCCGACGACTCTCTTCCAAATTCTACCAGCGGCGCTTTCCCACCCGCTCGGACCTATTCAGACGGGGTGAGATCTGGGACGGCATCCACCCCACACACACACTTCCCCCTGCAGGCTGGTCTGAGCTCCCCCAAAACCCTTCCCTGCCCCCGTCCCGCCCGGGGCCACCTTACCCGGCTCCGTCCCGGGGGCGCGGTGCGGGGGGGCTACGTGGCGCCGTCCACCTCGGCCTCAGGCGGCTTCTCCTCATCCGCGGGCGGCTCCAGGTCGCCCTCCTCTCCGCTGCGAGGGTAGGCCAGCAGACGCATGGCTGGAGCGCAGGCCGCCTCCACCTGGCGCACCTGCTCTCGGCTCAGGCGCTCGCGCCAGGCGTGCACCGCCTCGCGGGCGTCGCGCGCCGACAGGTGGAAGGGTCGGTCGGCGCCGTAGGCCGCGCCCCGCGTCATGTTGAGCGCGAAGGCGTCGAGCGCGGCGAGCGCGCGCAGCCCGGAGAAGCGCAGCAGGCGGCGCAGCTGGGTGCGCGGCTGCCGCACCAGGTCCTCGTAGCGCAGCCTCAGGTAGCGGCGCCGCAGCCAGGCGGGCGCGCCGCGCGCGAACAGCAGGTCGCGCAGCCAGGCTTCGCAGATCACCTCGAGCGCGCCGGTCAGGAAGAAGTCGGCGCGTGGGGCGGCGGGCAGGGCGCGGGCCTGGGCCCCGGGCCGAGCGCCCACGCCGTGCGCCAGCAGCACGCGGTGGAAGCGGTCGCCCCGCTGGCGGGTGCGCAGCACTTGGATGCTCTCGCGCAGCAGCCCCTGCCGGGACTTGAGGCGTGAGTTGTGCACGGCCCGCGGGTCGCGGAAAAGTTGCACCACCTTCAGGTTGAGGCCGGGGTCACGCAACAGAGGCACCAGCACGCCCAGGTCGAGGAGGCGCACGTCCTTGATGACCACCACCGGATACTTGCGGCACTCGGCCTCCAGGGCGCGTAGAGCCACGGGCGGGCAGCTGCGCTCGCAGGCTGCATCTTCGACGAGGCCGACCTCAGCGCGGGCACGGGGTGCGCCGGGGCACAGCGGCGGCGAGCAGATGACCTTGTTGGTCCGCCAGCGAAAGAGCGCGGCCGTGGTGAGATTGGCTGCGCCCGGGGCGCGCGCGGCGGGGTCCCCCGGTGGCGCGTACAGCCGCAGCACCGAGAAGTCGCAGCGGAAGAGCGAGCGCAACATGTCGCGCAGCGCGCCCTGCAGGCTCTCAGCGTCGCCCGGATACAGCGCTTGCCATAGGTGCCACATGGGCTCGTACAAGTAGAAAACGTCCGGGTGCTGGTTAAAGAGCTCGCCCAGGAACGACGAGCCGGTGCGCCAGGTGGCATGCACATAAATGTGCTGCTTCTCGCGGGACAGCGCCTCCCCAACGGCGCCACTGAGGTTACCCAGGGCCCCGGGGGATTGGCCCGCGCCCCCCTCCGCAGCCGGCCGCGCCTCCCCGCCCTGCTCTCGCTCTCCCGCCGCCGCAGCCTCCAAGCTCCACACTCCCAGGCTGCGCTGCACGCCCGGGCAGTGCCCGGCGCCCTTGTCGCCGTCGCGGCCGCCGTCCAGTACGGAGGGGATGAGCAGCAGCACCAGCGTGTACAGCACCAACAGCAGCGCAAACTTGCAGTACTCCCGGCGCCGCCGCCGCCGGCTCTTCATCGTTCACCGAGCCCCCCACCCTCCGAGCGGGTGGGGCGCCCGTCCTCTCCCCTTCCTCCGAAATCCCGTCCGAGCCCGCTCCTCCGGCCTCCTCGGGCCCCACTGCGCCGGGGGGATGGGGAGCGGAGCGACCGGGCCCGTGCATCCACAACGGAGAACTTAGGAGACGGTGGTGCTGGCGGCGGCGCCCCTGCCCTCTCTCTCGGCCCCGCCGCTGGGTAGCCGCCTATTGGCTGCTTTGGCGGCCGCCCGCCCCGCCTTCGAGCTCGCCGCTCCTCCCCGCGTCTTTACCCGCCCGGGATCGCTCACGGCCCTGCCAGATCTGGGCGTGGTTGCGGCGGGGTGCGGATGATGGTTGGGGCGCACCGAGCCAGACCCCACCTTTCCCCAGCCGCTCCGTAGTGCAGTCAAGTCTTCATGAATTGACTTCAGGGCAGGGAGGGGCTCGTGTGTACAGAATGTACCCAGTGACGGGACTTGGACCCCACCCGGAGAACTCCGCCGCCTCCCCTGTTTTATGTCCCCTGCCTGGTCAGCTCTGCTCTTGGCAGACGCGCCTCGGTACTGTCGAGAGCGGGGCTCCTGGTCGCTATCCACATCCAGCGCCCCCGTCAGCCCCAGGGTGGGTGTTACAGAGGTCTGGATGCGACAACTTCTCCCCTGGGATAAAGATACTCGATTGCACATTGCGCGGTGGGCGGGAGGAATTGGAGGCGCTAACTCCTTCGCGCAACGCAATTAATCGTTAAGGTGTAGCCTTTGTCAACTTGCTTTGAATTTATTTACTCATGAGAGACACACAGAGAGAGGCAGAGACATAGGCAGAGGGAGAAGCAGGCTTCCTGCGAGGGGCCTGATGTGGGACTTGATCCCAAGACCCCGGGATCACAGTCTGAGCCAAGGGCAGATGCTCAACCGCTGAGCTACCCAGGCATCCGGTGAACTTTTAAATGGTGTGTTCCTTAAGGGGTTGACCGCTGAGGGCTAAGCACATTTCTAGACCCTCTGAAGATCGGTTTACTCACTTGTAAAATGCAGATAATCTTTAGCATCTCTGTATCTCCTGTCGTTGTGAGATTTGGGTGTCATTTGTGACCACCGCGTAATCTAGCCTGTTCTGACACCTGAGCAAAAGACATTTACGGAGCTAGAACGATAGGATGTGGACTTCCTCGGGGAGCTCAGTGTTTAAAAGGACGCATAAGCAGGACTATGCAATGAATGATGGATGAAAAAGTGACAGTAAGTCCAAGAGGCAGAGTGAGCCTAAAGTTCCCTAAATCCAAAAGAGAACTAAAAGGGATCATTTTTGCTCTATTTCAGTAGGATAATGAACACCTCCTTGGAGGAAGGTGTTGTAAGGTTAATGGAAGATAGAAAGCAAATCTAGGGATCCCTGGGTGGCGCAGCGGTTTGGCGCCTGCCTTTGGCCCAGGGCGCGATCCTGGAGGCCCGGGATCGAGTCCCACAGTCGGGGTCCCGGTGCATGGAGCCTGCTTCTCCCTCTGCCTGTGTCTCTGCCTCTCTCTCTCTCTCTCTGTGACTATCATAAATAAAAAAAAATAAAAATAAAAAAATAAAGCAAATCTACTCATCTCCACCAGGGGAAGGTGTTCACTTTGGAAAAGTGGGAACATCTCCACAAAGATCTCTAGCCTTTTTTAAAAGATTTATTTATTTTTGCGGGGGTGGGGAGAGGGAGAGAGCATGAGCACCAGTGGGGGGGAGAGGCAGAGGGAGAAGCAGACTCCCCACTGAGCAGGGAGCTGGGTGTGGGGCTTGATCTCAGACCCTGGGATCATGACCTGAGCTGAAAGCAGATGCTTAATGTACTGAGCCACTCAGGTGCCCAATCTCTGGCCTTTTAATCAGAGAAACCACTCCACATCTGAAATCGCTAGCTGAAGCATCCTTCCATCCGTCCACAAGTCCTGGCCTTTCGGCCATTTGTTCAAATCTTCTCTACCCTCCATCCTCATTGACTGGTACCTCCACTTTATTCCCATTTTTTTCTATTTGGCTAAGAGACCCCAGACCGTTATTTTAATAACACTTCTGCCAATAATCTAAACTCTCTGTCTTTTCATTTACTCATTTAGCAACATCACCCTGTTAAACCCTGCTTTGGGCTCTCTCTCTACCTGCAAACACAGTTGTAGGTCCTCCACAGGACAGATGGAGTTAAAATCATCAACCTCAAATGGTCCCTAAAGTCCTACACTTTCCATGTCAACTCCCAGTTTCAGATTCTATTATGACTATTTCAGACCTGCTCTGCTCTCCTCAGACCTCTGATACCCCCTCTGCACCCCCCTCCCTGGTTTCAGCAGATGAACTTACCTCCTACTTCATAGAGAAAATGAAACTCTTAGGCAAGCTCTCACTTTCCGCTATCTGAGCCATACATCCACTTACCTCTGTACCCATCATTTCCCTTGTGGCAGGGATATTATTTTCCAATATGAAGCTGTCACTTTTTCTCCTTCCCTGTGTTTTTACTTTTTTCCTTCCTCTCCTCTTGTAAACAGGTAGATGGCTCTCTGCTCACCTGAAGGGAGGAATGTGGCTGAGCAGAATGCAAAAAAGTCGCTGGTGTTTCTTTCCAAAAGCTAAAACTCCAGTCGCAGAGGGTGTGGTCGGTTTTTTAAATAACCACAAAATTTTCCCCTTCTCTCTCCTCACCCTTTGGCAGTGCCTACTCACACGGACTCTGGGATGGCCTTGTGACTTGCGTTGGCCAATGGGACAGTAATAAACATGACACAAGCAGGGGCTTGAAAAATGTTTTCACCATGGGGAAGAGCCCCCCCAGCTGCTCTTGGGAACCCTGAGATCACCAGTTGAAGAAGCCTGGGCTAGCCACGTGGCTTGGAGAATAGGCTGTGCTAGCTGAGGCACCTAGACCAAACAGCCTGCAAACTGCCAGACAGATGAGAGAGGATAGCCCAGACAGGTGTTTCCTAAACTTTAAGGCATCCATAAACCATCCGGGGATCTTGTGAAAATGGGGAAACAGGTCCATTAGGCCTGGTGTGGGGCCAGAGAACCTACATCCCTAATAGGCTCCTGGGTGCTGCTGCTCTGAGGACCACACTTTGAGTAGGAGGACGCTCCATTCTCCAGCTCCAGTCGAGTTGACCCAGAAGACCCACCTAGCTGACCCACAGAATTGTGAGAAATAATAGATGTGCATATTGTAAGATACTAGGCTTGGGGTCTATCTGAGCTCTTCCTCGTGGCAATGGTTCAGGGAAGAGCAGATCTCAAGGAGTGGCTCAGGTGCTGTGTGGACCAAAACCCAATGATCCTAAGATCCCAGATCTATGGCACACCCCTATTTGTAGAGAAACCCTAGGAATTACCAAGGCAAACTGCCAGCCCAGCAAAAAGCTCAATCAGAAATAAAGTTGTTTTCAGAGAGGTCCAGGCTTCCAGTTACAGAATGAATCAGTCATGGGGATGAAAGGCACAGCCCCAGGAATCAAATGGTACTGTGGTAGCATTGTATGGTGGCAGATGGCAGCTACCCTTGTGGGGAGCAGAGGGTAATGTAAGCGTTGTCAATCACTGTGTCATACACCTGAAACTAACATTGTGCAACTATACTTCAATTAAAGAAAAAAAGTTGTTTTCTGTAAGCTGATTTCTTTTTTTAAAAAAAGATATTATTTATTTATTTGAGAAAGGGAGAACACGAGCAGGGGGAGGGGCAGAGGGAGAGACAGACTCCCTGCTGAGCCGGGTGCCCTGATCCCAGGATCGGGATCATGACCTGAGCCACCCAGGCGCCCCTGTAAAGTGATTTCTATCACACCTAATCGAGTGGACCTGCTTCCAACGCTTTCTCTCTGGTACAATAGAGTATGTCCCAGCACCTGCTATCAGTCACCACTCCTCTTTCCTGTTAATTCAGCCACATACTCTCAACTAGAATATTCTCACCAATGGGCGAATTAAACATAGTTAAATGTATCTCTTAAAAAAAATCCCATCAGTTCACACCCTCTTGCAGTACAAGCACTGCTGACACATACTTTAATGAGAATCAGAAGGTGCCTGCTCTAGGCACACAAATTTCAAAAATGGCCTTAAAAGTACTCCTTCCTTCGAGCCGCAGCCCCAGGCCGAAGTGTAGAGCTCAAGTGCCGAGCCTGGCTGGGTTCCAGCCTGGACTTGCATCCCTCTGCTGGGCCTTTCGCTGCTCCTTTGTCCTGGCACCGAGGCTTCCTCCGCCCAAGCCTCACAGCCCAGCTCTTTGCTGGAGTTGTTTATACTTGCTCTCCCCCTGCTCTCACCTCCTCCTCATTCCTCAGCGGGCTCCAGTCTAGATTCCTGCCCCGTGCTGCTGTACAAACAGCCCTTTCTAAGCTAATCAATGGCTTCCATGTTATTGAACCCAGAGGACTTCCTCACATCTCATCTTCTTTGACCTGCCAATAGCATCTGACACCTGACAGCTCCCGCCTCCACACTGACTCCTTTCAATTTCTAGGACATCATACTGGCCCCACTCTCCTCCCATTTCACAGCTGTGCCTTCAGAGCAAAGCAAAGCGTTTGGGAGACCAGGCTCTGTAAAACAGTGATCCTACTAGGAGGGTTATTGCAGCGTTATTGTAAGAATTAAATTGTATAAGATGGATAGACATTTCCTGCCCAGACCTCTCCTTGGAGCTCTGGACCTAGAAACCCACTTGCTGGGATGCCTGGGTGGCTCAGTGGTTGAGTGTCTGCCTTTGGCTCAGGGCGTGATCCTGGAGTTCCAGGATTAAGTCCCACATCAGGCTCCCCGCAGGGAGCTTTCATCTCCCTCTGCCTATGTCTCTGCCTCTCTTCCCATGTCTCTCATGAATAAATAAATAAAATCTTTTAAAATCAAAAAAATTAAAAAAAAAAAAAAGAAATCCAGTTGCCTGCCTGACATTCCTTCTTGGTGGCCTCAAGGTCATTTCAGTGTTAATGTGTGAATGGGGGAATCATCTCTCCCATGATGCAATCAGAAATGTAGGCGTTGGTTTTGGCACCTCCCCCTCCCTCAGCCCCCTTCCCTCAACCCAACCCATTGCCAAGTCAGGTTGGTTTTATCTCATCATGTCCCCTTAATGCATTCATTTTTCTCCCTTGCCAATACTACCACCCTAGCCCAGGTGATCATCCTCTGTCCTATCTCTAAAAACTGCTTAGCCTCTCTCTGTT